TAGCTCATGTGGCATGAAATGTTGTTTTTTGGGGTAACCGAGTTAACGGAAGGACAACAAATTCCTTACTCCGAGAAGCTACTTTTCATTTCCCAAAGATAGTAATAGGTATGTAAGTATTTCAATTTTTCATAAAATTGTTTGTTTACTTATTATAATACTTAAAACTTTAATTTTAACATGTTTTTTTTCGAGCTTATGATGCTTAATAGAAAAAGAAGCCACACAAATCGCTTAGCAATTATCAAGCGTTTCTTCTATTAATATTATTTATAAGGTCATGTTATAGATCGTCATTTTTTTTATCAATTATGAATTATTATTCGTTAATGTTATTATTTTAGATATACTATTTGATTGGAAAAATGTAAATGCAAATCATCGTATAACATTGATCCTGTTATTTTGAACAGAAAATACAGACTTTGATCTTTGCATTTTGAAGACAAAATGTTTTGTAACTATCAAAAAAATCGTTTGAAATCTGATGCTATTCCACCGATATTTGAAAATATTGGTGAAGAAGATCCAATTGTTGAACAATTTCAAGCTCCATTGAATGATAGTTTTAATAATGAAACTGAAACACCATGTTGTTGAACATCCATTGCAGGTAAATCATACATATTTTTTATACCTTTTTACTGTACCATTTTTTTTTTCTGATTGAAAAAAAAATTGTCTTAAACAAAAGGGTTGAAAAATGAACATTTTTATATCATAATTATTAACAGTTATAAAAACTTTAAAAATGTATCACAAGCAAAAATTGTTTTATTTTTATTTTTAATTTCTTTTATCTAGACCGGTCCACTATGACCACATCAGATGCATCTACATGGTCTGAAGTTGAAGTAGTCTGGGTGTCCAAACACCTATGTATTTGTCCTCAAAAACTCCACGAGAACTAAAAATTCACAAAAGACTTATGGAAGAAATCCAATTGAAGAAAGAATCTGAAGACAGAGAGAAGGACTTATTACATAAAGTTAATACTTTAAGTATACAATTAGCTGAGGGATATTCAGTGGACTATTGTCTTCAGATGTGTAAGGAAAAATTGAAGCCTACTTTATTTATGTTGGTTGATTCTTAAATGAAAAATTTACAAAAAAAAAAAATAAGGGTCATAGATAAGAGAATGAAATGAAACAACTAGCTCTTAATATTTACTTTCTAGGTTCTAAAGTTTATAAATTTCTACAAAATTCTTTCTCTTCCTACTAGTTTAACTTTAAGAAGTATGTCTAGTAAATATGAACTTAACTATGGTTTTAATGATTTCCTTTTAATTGTTTATTTTTTAAAATAAGTAATTTTAAATCTGAAGCTTTAGATTGTATTTTATGTGCTGATGAAATGGCCTTAAAAACAAATTTTTTTACATTATATCTAAAGACAAAATAATTGGATTTCATGAATCTATATCTCATAAAAAGTATGAACCGGCCAAATATGCTTTGGTTCTTATGATAAGAGGTATAAACTACAATTGGAAACAACCAATTGCATACTTTCTTGTTTCTAGCAGCTTTACTGGTACTGATTTAAAAGATATAATTTTAACTACAATTTATCACCTTCAAAATATTAAACTTAATATAAAATCATTTGTTACTGATCAAGGATCAAATTTTAACTGTTTGATTAAAGATCTTTATGTTTCTCCTGACCGTCCATTTATTAAGATAGAAGGAAAACAAGTTTTTTCTATTTTTGAACCTCTTCATCTTTTAAAATCAACCCGTAATATGTTGTTTAAACATAATTTTCTTATCAATGAAAACATTATAACCAAAGACCATATTGTTTCTTTTTATAATTACGATTCTGAGTGTAATCTTCGTTTAGCTCCTAAATTAAAATATTATCATATAAATCCAGGCCCGTTTGAGAAAATGAGAGTCTTTTTAGCTGCTCAAATATTTAGTGAAAGTGTTGCAGCTGGTATGTCCATAATATTATTTTCCAACATTTTACCTTCTTCTGTTCAATTCACTATAGATTTCATTATTGATATGGATAAATTATTCGATATATTTAATTCTTCCAAAACTCCTGGCCTTAAATCATTTAAACGACCATTTAAAAGTACAGCAGAACAAATTAATCATTTAAATAAAATGGCTAATATATTTAAAAACCTTAAGTTTATTCATAAGTTTAAAAAAACAGATGAAACTAAACGTATGAATTTTATTAATGGTTGGTTAATCTCCATATCTGGATTACAAATGCTTTATTCTTTTTTAAATCCAACTAAAAATATAAATTATGTTCTATTCGCTGATAGAATTAATCAAGATTGCTTAGAAAATGTATTCTGTACTTTCCGCCAACAACAAGGCAATAACTTTAATCCGACTCCCATTCAATTGTGTTGGGCTTTTAAAAAAATATTTTGTTTAAATTATTTTCAAACCTCGCCTAATGCTAATTGTATTCAGGATTTGGACCAAATTCTATACTCAGAAATAGCTTCTGGTGAATTCCTTAATATGCTGGAACCAGAAAAAAAGTCCTTTTAAATTTAAATCAATTAGTATTGGTACAGTTATCGGTACAGATTATAGACATTTAAATTTACCAAAGAGAAACACATTTTATTATGTATGTGGTCAGTAGCGTACGCAGGGGGGATTAAGAGGTTGTATGCCCCCCCCCGAAATTTTCTCCGATGTCTAGGTTAAAATTTACAAATTTTACAAGTTTGAAATATGAAGAGCTAGTATTAAATACCTAGTATCATTGATTATAGAATAGTCTATTATATTATCAATGCTATTATTTAAGTCAATAAATATTAAGAATTTGCATAATTTTGTTAATTGTAAAATGTGTTATATTTTTACCTTGACTCCCCCCCCCCTGAAAAAAAATCCTGTGTGCGCCACTGTATGTGGTTATATGATGAAAAAATGTTTAGAAAAGCATATTTGTGATGACTATTAAATTATGCTCGTCATTAAAAACAGTTATACCAGTTACTTCTTTTATGTTTTTAAAGCATAAGTTACTAGTGCCGGATTGGCTAAACATTTTGGGCCGGGAAATTACAGTATGACTGATTAATAATAATTTTTCAAATTTTAACAATAAGTCTCCTTTATTCATGGATTAAATGCTCGTAGAACTGTTTAACATCAAGTTTACACTAGGTTTTTATCACAATTTTATAATTTAATACAATATACTTAAATACATTATTTTTATAAAACAATTTTTAATCCAAGTACATCGGCCCAGTGTTATACTACGACTAGCGGCCCACCGGGAACTTTCCCAGTATTCCGGTGGGCTAATCCGCCACTGTATGCTACAAATGATCATTCCATATTTGGAAACCTAATGACGCCACAATAATTTTTATCAATTTATTTTTTAATTAGAAAATATTTTTATTAAATTATTTCTTTCTATTTCTATAGAAAATGGAGTTGGTTCTAAGTTGAAACTTAATTTTAGTAATGTTCCTTTTAGTCACCCTTGTAAACTTTTCGACAAATCTTTTCTATTAAATTTATACGTTAGGTTTAGGATTTTTACAGCAGTTAAATTTTTAAATAGAAATCTAGTTTCTGAAAAAAAATTAAAAAATAGAAAACTAACTGTCTTATCCCATTTATAATATTTCATTTTTTTTTTTTTTTTTGTAATTACCATTTATTAATTATTTATACTCCTATAATTCGATCGAAAATTATTTTTAACAATTTGTTCTTATTATTATTAATATTTGTATGTCTTTTATTACCATTTGTAATGTATTTTGTTCATACACTAATAAATTGAAATTAAAAGAAAATGCAATTTTGTTGATTTATTTATTTAAATATGATTATTATTTGAGTTGTGTTAAAAAATAAAATCATTTTCATTTAAGTTTAATGATATAATATAATTAGTACATATGTATCACAGAATTTAATATATTCTGTATATGTAAGTTTATTTACAGTATTCAAAAAAAAAGCTAACATTAATCTTGGTATCAGAAAAAATATTGTACACCACTGTATTTATTGTATTTAAAATATTTCCTATTAAATTTTAGGTCTACACTGATGAACCCTTTCAATATGGCGGACCATATTTTTGGGCGGCCATAAGAGCCCGTGTAATTTCTTATCAGTTTCCATTCCGATTCAATCTATTCTGTGTCGATACCGCAAAAAAAAAGAAAGTATCGGCCCATTCTTAATTTTACGTATAAAACTGTAGCAGTTTTTGTATTTTGTGAATTTTTTTTTTATTATTCGTTTGTAAACTTTAAAATATCCAAAGTAAAAACACTAATTAGGAATCATTTACAAATATACGTAAACAAGCATAAAAATATTTTTAAAATCAATGGTTCAATTTTGTAATACAATATTTGTGAAATTTTTACATAATTGAAAAAAAAATATTTGCGATTTAATTTTAAGTAATTATTTTGTAGCACATTACAGCATATTTTAATGATTTTTGGAGTATATAAATCCGTTCCCTAATTATTATGTAATGCAATAAGTGTAATAAGGAAAATATTTTAAAAGCCAAAGAAGAAAACAAAGGAAGGTTAGAAGTGGTCAATATGTATACCTAAGTTATTTTTCCAAGTGAAAAGTAAATTGGCGGTTTAATTAAATTTTTTCATTACTGCCCAGTACCCATAACTAATTAATTATTACACATACAATATAAATGTAATTACTTATATTTGTAATTATGAAAAATCAAAATCAAAATTAAAACCAAACAAGTATATCTAATTTTATAGCCTAAAGTTGGTATTAGAGTTAAATAATATTTTGGATAGAAATTACTAAATTTTTTTTTTTTTTTTTGAACTTTAATAATTTCTCTACTAATTATTAAAGATAAACATTTATCATAGATATTATAAAATAAAACAAAATATAGTAATAATATAAATTTAAATAAGATTATGAAATATTTTGTTAAAATTATTGATAGTATTATTAGTTTCAATATCTTATAGTATACAAATAAACCAATTTAAGTATAAAATGTTATGCAATATAATGTTGAATAGAAAATAGGAATAAGCTTACAACAAATAAAAGTATATGAATTGAAATATAATACTACCGCGTTGGCTGTAATTTGTACTTGGGCATTTTATTTAATAGACCTTGAATATCCTTTTTTTCATCATAAGTTTTCCAAAGCTCAAAAAGATTAATTATATATCTGGATATTTCTTGTATTTTATCAATGTCAACGTTCAGCTCAGCAAACCACGATTTGAGATCTTTTTGCATCATTACACATGCAATTTGCAAACAACCTACAAAAATAAATATTTTAATGCACATATTAAAGTAATAGAGCATTTAGTAAAATCATAATGATCATGATGATCATAATTATATTGTTTTTTATTATATTAATTGCCAATTGGTAATGTTTATCCCAATAAAAAAGACATTTGTTTATTTTGTTATTAATTATCTGGTTATTAAAAATTGTAGATTAAAATCATTTAAAGGAGATATATGGTAATTTTATCTAAAATATTTTCCCCGATATTATCAAATGATGAATATTATTTTGAAGAATACTTCATAAATAATGTTAAGCATGATTACATACAGTCAGTGTCGGCCTGGCCTGGGCAACGAGAAAACGAACACTGTCAAAGTCCTCACCTTATTTTTATTTTTTATTCTAGCATAGGCACTTCAAATAGAGATGGATGGGGACATAATAGCCCAGGGTGATGAGTACTGTTAAAGGCTCTTTTTTTTTTATAACATTAAAACAAAATGGGGTGCCACAAAGTGGCCGCATGTCACGGACCCTGAGTTCCAGAAAGGCCTCAAAGTCCTAAATACGAAATTTAAAATAATGAGTTGAGTTCAAATCATCCATCTATGATTATGAAATTGTTGTACAACAAACAATTTCAAATATTCCTTTTTGTAAGTTTTTATTTTATTTTCCCCCGTTTTATAAATTAATGATTTAATAATAATTATTAATTATTATTGTACATTCTTATAAATATAGATATATTATAGTTTTTTGACACTTATGATAATTAGGTTTATTTATATATTATATTACTTCAGTATATCAAATAGTAATTTAATTTTAATTTTCTAGCTTAAAATAAAGAAAAGGTAATATTTTGTTTAAATCAATATTTTTATGAGGGCCTTATAGACTTAATGCCACAGGTGACAGGCCCATAATTACATCATTACACGTGCGATTATATTTTGGTAATTGTGCCTCGCACACAATCGGATTTATTATTTGAAAATATGGACAGTGATAATGAAATTGATGAAAAAAACTTTTAATCAATTCACTGTAAAAAATGTAATAGATGTATTGCATGTGTTTATATAAAAATTAGAGAACTTGCATTTAATTCAAATACTTTTATTAATTTATTTGTTTTGTATAAATAATATTTACAGTACATATTATGTACTACTTCTTCCATCAATTTAGCTAATATGTTAAAGAGTTTTTTCTAAACTTAAGTTAGTTAAATCAAAATTAAGATCTACTCTAAATCAAGAACATTTAACTCCATTAATGCTAATGAATGTTGAGAAAGATATAGAGTTTGATAAAAAATATATCATTAATTGCATTGCTGGTTCATTGGATACATAAAAAAGATTACTTACGTTATGAATAAAAAAAATGTATGTTGGTAGAATGATATAATGTGTTAAATCATTTATTTGTTGTTGTTGTAGAATTAACCAAGCCTGTTAATTAGTATAATATAATTATTTAAATAAAATATTATTGAATTTAAGATAATTTCATTAAAAAAGAATAATTACAATTTAATACTTAAAAAAAGAGTATGTAAATCAAATTTGTAGGAAATACATCATATTTTTTAGATAAAAGAAATATTATGTACACATTTATTTTAATAATAAAATAGTAGTTTAATTTTAAATATATATTTTCTATATGTTGTGTATGAAGTTAAGTAGTTAATATCTCAGGCCGACACTGCATACAGTTAAATTAAATTATAATTTTTGATTTGTACTATTTGACATAATTTTTTAGTAGACAAATAATTATAAAAAATAATAAAAAATTTGTCCTGATGAGTTAGTTTTAATAACATTTAATTAAAATGAGCTATGTTAAGAAAAGAAAATCATAAGTAATCTAAGGATATCATATAAAATTCAATATAAAGAATAAGTCAAATGTTCATAGATTTTACTGTACAATCAAAATAATAAGTAACATTTACCAATAGCTATTTGATATGGTGGATATAATAATGATAGATCTGTTCTTAGACTATCATTAACTACTCTCCATGCTAATGCCAATAATTGATCTTCATGTGGTCCAATATCCTGAACTAACTGAAGCAATGGGCGATAAGGTTGGAATACAATCAAACAACAATCCAAATTTTCCAACAAATAAAATTCACATTCTAATATATGATTGGTGCGATAAGGAAATTCTTGAGTGTATGCATAATTCAATTTATTTTTCACTACAAATAATAATAATAAAAAATTAAGTTACAAACATGGAATAACAATTAGCTAAACATACAAACTGTTTGGCAAGTAGTTATTAAACGGCTGTTAGATATCACCCCAAATTCTTCAACCTTAGATGCTAAAAAAACACAAGTAGGTGATAATAATAAAGGATCAATACACTTAAGAGAGTTTCTAGCATAAAACCGTTTAAAATATACTGTGGCCGTAGCTATCACTTGTTGTTTAAGTTTCAGTTGTTCACCTAAAATCTGGATAACTGAAAAATTTAAACATTTAATTCAGTAAATCACATTGCTACATTAATGTTATTCTTTTTTGATAAATCCGAAAGGAACTAGGTAGATGAAGATATTTAACTTACAGTTAGAAAAAAATATGCATATTTTTTGATATTCCTCTTCGCTCAAGATCTGTAAGTCCAGCTGACGTTCTCTCACCAGATCTTGTTTGTCTAATATCCATTGTTGGCTACATAATAAAATACGATTAGCTATAAGTAGTAAACACTACGTTTAAAATTAAACAAGTCAACAGATCGAAAACATTAGACACGGCAACGCGGAAAGAGCCGACGAGAGGGTGGGGCGGAGAGGGCCAGCGACCCCGAGGGCCCGTCGTCTCAGCTTTTTATACAAAATTATTTTATAATCTCGTTTACTGGAGCATAAGATGCAAATTTAAATATTTTTATTGTACTTCAGGTATGTACAAGTAGTACGTAATTCTTAGCCAAACAAATGTAATAAATAAAGGGTGGCTTGGAACCGATCAGCGCTGGGGGACCGGAACAGTTCTCGTCGGCCCTGAGTGTAGGTGAGAGACTCGGCAACGGTACTCACTAATGGGAACTCTGCCAAAAGTTTCCTGCCATGTTCAACGATAATCGGCGATCGTCACCGACGGCCGAACATTATCCCGATTCTGGAAACGGCAACGCGAATCGTTACGACGGAGGGGCCATAATGTTTCGCGCTGTTCGTGATAACAACGTTGCGAATTGATAACAATGAGGGGGACGCGGTCGTCTGGCGCTAACGTAACAGTCGTCGTGGGTCGGTTGTCGAGCCTGGCGCGGCCGTACCGCGGAGCCGATCGAACGCGAAATCACGCGTATTCGAAAACCCCCGAACGGAGGGGCTCGGTGCTGTTCGAATATTGTTGATGATTTCGTGTACGTGGTGAAACGAAAATCGCGACATGTGGCTCGGAATCGTAACGGATGGCGTCGTTAACCGTTCGTTTTCCAGGGCGAAGCGACGTAGAGCCGAACGACGTTTACTGCGAAATACCGTTGCGCTCGTCGCCCGGTCGATTTGAAAATCTGTTGATTTGTACCGCAGTGTTTGAGTCACAATCAGTGGCGGCGCCGCAATTTTCTTTAAGTCAAGGCCAACGGGAAACCGACAAATATGAGGTAGTGCCGCAAAAAATGAGATTTTGGCGAAAAAAAATAAAATTCAGTTATAATAACACAGGTTTACAATGATTTTGCTGTTTAAAATGTAATATCTATTTCTTACGAATTTTTTTTAGTCGATTTCAAAAATATTAATTTTCGTCCATCGCTTAAACTTTAAAAGTTATCCGGTTCTCATGATATATTGTAATGCATAAAAAGTCCATCTATAGTTAATCCGTTATTCAAAGGCGTATTGAATTGCAGCCATGGGGGGAGGACGAAACTAATTTTTCTTCAACACAAACTTAAAAATAATTTACAGTTCATTACAATGGCGTACCCAAGGGGGGATTTCGGGTTCGGACCCCCTTTGAAATTTCTACATACTCAATGGTTTAATAGTAAATAGTATATAGTGTATTTTAATTTCTCATTATCTTCAATATACAAAGTTTATAAATTATATAATAAACCTATAATGTATAAACCATGTTTAATTTATACTGATTTTTTAATATCATTTATTATTGTTAATTAAATAATGTATTTTTTTTATAACATTTTAACTACCAAATAAAAATTGATTTCAAATTATAGTACCAGCCTATTATAGTAAACCTTTGTGCAGAATATGTGTGATGTGTATATAACTATTATGACTATTACTATAGTTATTAACAGTAATTTGTTGGTATTGAATTAAACTATAATTATAATTAGAGAACAGATAAAATTAAAATGTTGGGCCCTCTCCTAAAAAATTTCTGGGTACACCACTGGTTCATTATCTATGATTCATGTTCTTGTTGCTCATTTGAGTGAATAAATAGAAATACAAGTGCCAAATTGAATTAAATATTTATTTAAAAAATATATTTAAAACCTACCTACTGCATATAAATAAGTATTATAATAACAACACAAATTGTTTTTATAATAAAATTGTACCTTCAGTCTGAATCTTGTATAAAAAAAAACAACAAATAATCATAGTAGTAATAGTACCTATTGATTATTTTTTAAAAACTTTAAAAAACAAGATAATTAACTTAATTTATAAATATCTAAGTAGAAAACATAAGGTTAGTAAGTAGTCAAATAACAAATTCCAAATTTCTTTTTTTCATTTTGGCAAATTTGTTGATTGTTTTATCAATGGATACAATAATATTTGTACATGTATAATGTACATGCAGCAAAGCCAAACCTGTTAGTCTATGGTGGCCTATTCTTGATTACAACCTTATTTTCAATTTACAATAATATATTTTTGGCCAATATTTGCAACTTAAAGAATATGGAATTGTCAGTTATTATGATTATTATTTGGATTAGGGGCTTCTAGCTCTATAAAATACACAAATATGCATGCATTTGTGCACAAAAAAATTACTACGCACAACAAAAATGACCAGATATTATATTTAAAAAAAAAAAAATAAGCGAGTAAAATTATTAAGGACTTATATAGCTCTAATAAATACAAAAAATATACAATATGTATAAATGCACCAAAAAATGACTAACCAGTAAATATGTGGTAAAAAAAAGTGTTACTTTAAATTACTTTATATTATCTGATAAATACCTCGGTTATGATAATAAATGTCTATAACTGTTGCAATATCCACTATTTGTTCCACAACCAAAATGTTTGTACTTTCAGCATAACACAATATTACAAAAAATACGCGTACAATGTTTTACGTATGATTCGATGTTGTGTGATTGCGAGACGCAAAAACAACGACAGATAATAATCGACTGAACTGAACATTAAAACAAATAATCTATTATTCTATATTGACTATTATCTTTATTAATATCCGGTCGATATCCAGTGGGTTATACGGTCGATACGGGTTTATAGTATTATTTATGCCGGGTTTACACGATGCGTAGTACTTGTCATTAATACTTGTCATTTGCACTCGCTCATTGCTTGAGCGTTCACACGACTTTCGCATTCGTACTCACACTAGGTATTAGGTATTAGTAGATAGTAACATAATATGATAATCAATGATAATATTAAATATATTATATATATTAAATTGTAAAATTAATATTAAATAAGATTATAATTCCTATAATAGTGATTAGAAGTCAAAAATATATTATTAATTATTATAATATAAAAAATTAATCGTCAACATCAATTAAGTCGTGAATAATGGACCATTGTCGTATTGTGTAACAAAGTTTGAAATATAATTCAAACATAATAATTTCATCAATCATAGATGAACTAGAAGTTGAATTAAGAATTATCACAATTTACAGTGCGTCATACACGTGATAACACAAATATTACTAAGCACTAATACTAATCATTAAGTGGTCACACGTTGCGAGTGCAACCGCGAGTACAGTAGAGTCATGGAAGGCTTTAGCTACTTATCGTTAATAAATAGAACGACGTTCTATCCACTCGCATTCCCTGTTTTACTAATAATAAGCACTATTTTTTCTGTTTACACGCAATGTGCAAGTGCGAGTGACAAGTACTAATGACTAGTACTACGCATCGTGTAAACCCGGCATTATACTTACACAAAAATTACAACGAGATATGAGAGGTAATTTGCAGATATATATATATATATATATATATACATATTACTGGAAGTATTAAATCCTCTTGGTACATTTTTTTTCTCGGTCGGTTGAGATATGTATATATAGTTATATTTTATATGTATCTATAATTTTTAATTTTAAATTTTAAAAATTTGTCAAAATATGCAAAATTTGTATGAAAATTTTAAAATATGCACTCTCCTGCAAAATCTATCAAATATGCAAAAATATGCATATTCAAATTTTAGATCTAATATCATGGCACCAAAAAACGAATTTATTTCGCAGTCTGCTATATTTAACAATAATTAAAAAAAGTATGCAAATGCTAGAAGTCCCTAAGCCTAATTATTAGTAATTAACATTTATATATAATAAGATACTAATTTTTAATCTAATTAAATCAAAATATTTAAAAAAAAATGTTATGATATGTATGGAAAAATATGACATCATCGCCTGATATTGTAAGGAAATGATAACATAACTAGGCAATGATAAAATTTCCTTCCGCAATTAGGAATCGTCATACTTTCCTAAAAGTCAACATTTCCGGTAACATATATAATTCCTTTCATAAATATACAAAAGACATAAAGACACTTAATTTATAAATAAAATAAACTTATAAGTACAGGTTTCAATTTATAGATTAAAGAAAAGTAAATATTTTAAAAAATATTCAATTACTAAAACAAATAATTTAGTTAGAAATAATAAAAAAAAAATAAGAATATATTATTTTAATCTTTTTATACCATTAATTTAGTAAATATTTATAAGTATTAATTTATAAGTTATAGTAAACATAAGAAATATTAAAATCTTATAAAACATGATTCAAAAAATAAAAATACGATTTAGTTATTAATATAAAGTTTTAATTGATAAATACGAATTATGATATTCACATTTTATAAAATGAATCTACAAAAATATATTTTTCCATACTTCAGGTGTCATGTTTATCCTATTACTTAACTTATGTTTATAAAGACTAAACGATCTTTTTAAATCTACTAATGTATGTAGCGCATATTTTATATTGCTCACATAGCATATCACGTATTTAAACCAATTCTAAATTGATTAATTAGTGTTATTAATTTATTATTATTTTATTATTTTGTTTATCTTTATACGTTTATTATCTTTTGAAAAATGTATGAGTTAGGATCAACAAATTTTATTAGTCAAATTATTATTTATTTCATCACATAGCAGTGGATTTTTGGTATTTTAAACATCAATAGTCAAACATAGTTTTTGAAAATTCAAGATTCAAAATAAATTTTAATATTTTTTAAACTTTCTTGTTAATTGTAATTAAATTGAAAATTGTGTATTTCATAAAAGTTGATGTGCCTAATTTTTCAACTGATCACACGTATTTGTTTTTATTAAAATTCGACGTACTTAACAAAAATATCTTATACATAAGTAAAAGGTAATATTGATAAATGCATACGATTAAAAAAAAAAAAGACGCGTAGGTACCAATATTATTGTTATTTTTATAAACCGTTGTTGGTACACAACAATGAACGACAAAGGGGTATTAAGGACCTCCAAACTTTTCCCAAATGGTCCTAATTGTGTCTATAATACTGACGGAATAAGATAAGTATGCATTATATATAATATGAATAATGATTGTCAATGACGCTATGAATGATCGAAGTCTACATAATATGACGAATCGGGTGTGGAATGCCTCGTACGTATAGCTATAACGTGATAACAGAACTTTCAGAACACCCACAATGTAAATACACGTCTTTGCGTACCTAGTACAGTAGTATCTATTAATATACATGAATTGTGTGAAAACAATTAAACAAAAACACGTCGATAACATGGAGTAATGACCGGGATGGAAAATTAAAATAATACATAAAACAGAATTGATTAATTTAATTTACACAAAGAAAATGAATACAGATAATTTTAATTGCAAATATACTTTATATTTTGATACGTATATGTATTTTTATGATCACAGTAATTACGTTAAAAACGTAATCGCATATAATTATGAAATCATAAATTAGTTGTTAATTCATAAACCATTTATTGATATAAAATATAAATTTTTACAATATGGTATACGTATAGAACTTAAGCCTATAATGTTATTAATGAAAGAGCTTATGAAGACTAAAGTTGACATATTTTGATGAAATATGATATGTGTATATCTACCACACATGGAGTAATATTAAAAATTAATTGATAATCCCTATAAAACAACAAAAAATAATTTAAAATAAAAAATAGTTCATTAAAATTTGTTTCGAAGGTACTGAAAAACATTTTACCAATGGTATGGAGAAAATTTTAAAAATTATAGAATTAATAATTAATTTTATATATATATATATATTATATGTATAAATTAATGGACAATTATTAAATTTATTTGCTGAAAATAAAAAATGTGGGGCTGTATAATGATATCTATAACTTATATAATTAAAAAGAACAAAGTACAAAACAGAATAAAGAGTTTTATTAATGTTGGATTTAAATTTAATTTAAACATTTTTGAATAAAACTTATAACTTGAAGATTTTTTAAATAACTAATAATTTTAAAACCCGTTAAAACTCTTTAAATGTGTTAAAAATATTAAAATATTACTAAAAGTATTAATTATCTACATAATAAGCTAGAAGAAAATTAGTAAAATTATATGCATTTATTCCATTTGTTACATGAATCATTTTTGTAGCTGATAAATTAGGTAATTTGTTATTTAAAC